AGCCCCGTCACGGGCAGGGCCTGGCCCGACACCCGCATTCCTGCCATCGCACCGGGCCCGACACCCGCATTCCTGCCATCGCACCGGGCCCGACACCCGCATTCCTGCCATCGCACCGGGCCGGACGTGGCCGTTCCGGGCTGCCCTCGCCACAGAGCTGCTGCCTCCCGCCGCCACGGGAGCAGAGGGGGGATCTTCCAGGAAGGCAAGGAACGGCTGGAGCTGCTCCTTCCCAGAAGGGCCGGCCAGGCAGCTGCACAGCACAGGGACGGGCCCAGCTGTCCCCAGGGGCCGGGTGTGTGTGGGAGCGGACACTGGGCTGGGTGGGACAGGCAGAGCCCTGGCCCAGCTTCCACCCTTGGCCCTCCCGAACATCAGGGCCAGGACACGCTGCCTTGGCCACGGCAAAGTCCAGCATCAACACCCCTTTCACCATGGCCTGGAACGCTGCTGCATGGGAGGGGATGTGGGCACAGACCTCGGAATGTTCACAGAGCTCCCAGCAGAAGCGATGTGACCGGTTGAACACGGCACAGCCACAGCAACACGGAGCAGCTCGGCTGCACTCCAGGGAAGAACTGCCGGTCCCAGAGCTGCTCCAGGGCTGCTCTCACCACAGAGGGGCTGCATGAAGCTTGACAGCTGCCAGGCTGGTACAGATGGAGGAGTGAGATCCCAGCTGCGTGGGTACTGAGCAGGTGGCAGGACACCACTAACACTGAGGAGGTCCCTGGGGGCACAGCCAGCTCCTCCCCACCTGGAAGGTCTTGTGTGAGCACTGACAGGAGGGGCAGGGTCCCATGCGGCCTGGCCTCCAGCAGGCAACTGCTGCTGTTGTGAGAAGGTGATGTGGCATGGAGGCCCCTAGAAAAGTGCTTTATTTTGAGTACAGAGGGAAACTGCTGCACCACAAGTCACCCAAGCACCGGGCTGGGCCCCTCTCCTGGCTCCTTCCAGCCCTGCATGAGCTCTCGGGCCCTGCCTGGCTGGCACAGACACAGCTCAGTCCTGCTCTCAGCCCCAGGCCAGCACTGCCGGTCAGCACCGGGCAGTCCCCACTACTCCGTCACCTCAGGCACGACGCTCACCAGCAGCGTGTCGTGGCCGCGGCGCACCAGCATGGCCAGGTTCTGCTGCGTCCGCACCGCCTCGTACACGTCCTCGGCGCGCCGCGACACCGCCCCGTTGATCTCCAGCACCACGTCACCGGCCTTCAGCCCAGCCCTGCGGGGAGAACACGGATGGAGCACAAAGTGGGCAAAGCAGCCACTCAGCTTCATCAACCCTGAAGGATGGAGGGGCAGGCACAGGAGCCTTGGGCTGTGGCACCAGGTGTTCCTCCAGCCAATGGGGACATCCAGCCTGGGCAAGGGTGCCCAGGTGGTTTCTGCTGCAAGGCCCAAGCCCTCCTGCTCTGGAGCAAAACACATGCAGCTAAACACATCCCCCCTGGCACAGCTGCTCCCTCACACGACCCGAGGCACAGGGCAGCACTTACTGATGGGCCGGGGAGCCGATGATCACCTTGTGGATCAGCACACCGTAGGACACGTCGGGGAAGCTGGGGTCACGCAGCTTCAGCTCCGCCAGGATGCTGCATAGTGGGAATTGGTGTCAGGGATGGAGCTGGAAGCAGAGCAGGGCTCCCACCCCACCCCAGCTGCACAGGCTCAGAGACCAGACACAGAACCTCCCCTCCTGTGTCCCTGCACACTGCTGAGTACAAGCACAGCTGCCAGCCCCAAACACCACCACCACTCTGTCAAAACAAAGAGGACAAGAGTCCCAGTGGCGCCAGGGAGAGCTGGAAACTACTGGAGCAGCTGCCATCTGGATCAGAGTTGTGGTGATGCATGTCCCCACATCACATCGCTCTTCCCCGTGTCAGACCCAGCCCTCCCCTGCTGCAGTTTCCCTTCTCTGCCCTGGTTGGGCAGGACACACAACACAAGCCATGACCCTCTTCCTGCCAGACCTGTCACCAGAGCTCTACCCACATCTTTCCTCCGGAATCTAGAGACTAAATAATCCCAGTTCCTCCAACTTTCTCACAGATTTTAAGTTTTCTAAACCAAGCTTAAACTCTGCATCTCTCACAGCTCCACTTCGGACTCTCCCCAATATCTTCTCATCCCTCCTGAACGTATCCAGAAGTGGATGCAGCACTCCAGTTGGATCTCCCCAGAGTGGAGAACAGCATTCTTCCCTCAAACACTGCAGCGGCTCTGATCCCTGCAGCCTCAGACACTCACAGTCTCTGCCCAGCTCTGCTCCCACCAGGTCCCTGCTCAGCCAGTCAGGGCTCCTCATATGGCAGTGGTCCGTGCAGAGCTCTACTGCACTGTCCCACAGCTCAGTGCAAGCTGCATCCCTTCCTGACAGAACAACGGGGTCTGTGCCGTGCCCAACACAGAGCTTCCCCTTCCTGTGCCAGGGAAAGGTTCTGGCCTTTGCAATGAGCGTGTTCAGACCAGTCACCCTTTTCCAAGGCAAGCAACCCCTTCTTGGAAGACCTTCCCCCTGGAGACAAAGAAGCCTCACAGTCAGGTGGTTTCCCTGGACCGGTTCACTGGCTGTGCGGAAGCTGGACCCGCTTCCCAGGAGCCACGTCTGACGCATTTCACGCTGCTTCCTCACAGCCCCTGTCCCGCAGCGTGCCCAGGGAAGCAGAAGGAGGCTGGGTTCCCACATTCCTTGGGTTCTGCCGAGTACCAGCACCATCTACTGGGCACCCACCGGGGCTGCCGGCAGTGCTGGCTGTGCCCCCACCACCCCCCTCAGGGGACACAGAGCACCTGCTCCTCCCTTTGAGGCCAGGCAGGAGCCCCAGAGGCTGCTCGTGGCGCCCAGGCATGCAGGCAGCCCACAGACCCAACCAGCCCACGGGAGTCACGAGAGCTTTAGGAGGGCAGAGCATGGCCCTGAAAGGTGTTTGCCCAGCATGGCACAACACCACCCCCAGCAATGTGCTGAGCCCCACAAAGCAGCTGAAGGTCACCTAAAGGTGGCTGCAAGAGCCAAGGAACAGGAGCAGCTGCTGTCCTTGAGAACTGCTCCCAGAGGTGAGAGTGCAGGTCCTGTTCGCTCCTGACATTGGTCCTTCATGGACTCACAAAATTGTTTGGGTTAGAAAAGATCTTTAAGATCAAATCCAACTGCTCCCCCCCAGAACTGCCAAGACCACCACTGACCATGTCCCCAAGTGCCACATCCACAGGGCTGTTAAATCCCTCCTGGGATGGGGTCTCCCCTCCTGCCCTGGGCAGCTGTGCCAGGGTTGGACAGCCCTTTCCAGGAAGGAATTTTCCCACTATCCAACCCAAACCTCCCCTGGCACAGCCTGAGGCTTTTTCCTCTCATCCTGTTGCTTGTTCCCCAGGAGCAGAGCCCGACCC